AGTCAGGGAATAATCCTAATAGAATTAGTGATCACTGAAGCGTAGTCTGTACAGTGTACCTTTTAGCTTATTGTTTTGGGGGTAAACAAAGACTTAACCGATTGTATTATTTTCGGGGTGCACTTAACGGTTTGATCATGTACGGTTAACGTACTATGTGCTACTTAGCGAATTTATTATCCAAGATCACAAAAGATATTGAAATTTATAAGCTGTTTTTTTTCAAATGTACGTATACATTGAGCGCCACCAACTCGATATTGTACTTTGCCAAAAACGATTTCATTATATTGGGTTGAGTTCTTGACTGTTTCACGCATTTTAACGGCTATATTTTGTGTCGTCATACAAATAATATCCGGTCAACTATTGAGGAACTGCATGGAAATTAAGAGAAAACGAACGCTCAATAGTAAACAGTCATAAACACTGCTGCACTACCCGAGAAGGTCAGGGTCCACGAACTACTCAGACGTCTGTAATATAATGTCCTTCCTTGGTTTAGAAACGCCAACATGGCTACTTATTCTCTTCGTTATAGTCCTACTGTATGTCTACGGAACGTGGAACTTCTCGTATTGGAAGAATCGAGGCATTTCCGGACCAAAACCCTTACCATTTGTCGGCAATTCCCTTGACATTTTTTTGAAAACAACTCCCATTCATCAGGTCATACTGGAGTACATAATAGAATATGGACCTATCGTTGGATATTTTGAAGGACGAAAACGACAAATCATAATTGGAGACCTGGATAAGCTCCGACAGATTTTCACCAAGGATTTTAACCATTTTCAAGATCATAGGAAGTTTAGTGACTTGGATTGTAAGCCTTTTGACAAGGGGCTCAGTCAGTTGAAAGGACGTGAGTGGAAGAGGGTTCGAAACACAGTAACGCCAACATTCAGCTCTGGTAAGCTCAAAATGATGGTACCATTGATCAATAATGCCTGTAAAACACTTCCTGGTAGGATCGATGACCTTATAAAAGCAAAAGATGACATCAACGTGACAGATATGTATGGTTGTTTGATGATGGATGTTGTTGCAAGCACGAATTTTGGTCTTCATTTAGATTCTGTAAAAAACCCAGAAAATCCATTCATTAAAAACATAAAGACCATTCTTAACGGTGGACGTCTTTGGTTGTTCGTACTTGTAATGATGTTACCTGTAGTAGGGAAGATTATGAGGTTACTTGGTGTGGGTCTCTTTAATTCGGAATCAATAAACTTCTTTACCGACGTCACAGATCAGGTTGTGAAGGGAAGAAAGAGTGATCCAAATGATGAGAGAGTGGATTTCATCAGATTGATGATTGATGCTCATGATATGGAGATAGAAAAAGAAGAAGATGGACTCAAAATATATTTCGATGATGAGGATA